CGAAATGACAAATGCTAAATGATTTATGATTATGACAAAGGAATAGACAAATCATTTAAATGGTCAAATGATCAGGTTATTTCTGAACACTATTATACTATAATCTATCAAATTGAAAATAATATAAATTATAAATATTAAGTTAATATCTTGTGAATTTATTTTGATAAGATGCTTAAATAAAAGCCATTTTATCTAGTGCCAGTTCATAATAATTATTTAGCTTATTAAATTTTATTCAATATAATAAATTACATTCTAATAAAAATCACCAATTTTTTTTTATAAAGAAATATAATTAAATAATAATACATTTACAAATTTTGTGTCACCTTTATATTCAGCAATTACGTAGATATTTATACATCTAAATAAATCATTCTCAAATCATAAATATTATGAGTAAAAATTATTGCAAGGAATTGTATTCTTTCCAAATAAATTTCCTATCGCGTTTATTTTTAAATGTTGACAAGTGAATTGATATTACCAAGACTGTATTATATGATGAGTAAGAGTAAAATATCCTTCCAATTTTCCTTATGTGGATGAATATTCTAAATAAACTTTATTCTATTAAGTTATACAATAATTTATAGTATATGATAAGAATTCGCAGCTGAAAATGTTTGAAATCATTGAAACCACAAAGAATTAATACTTTATAATATAAATAATTCTTTGATGTAAAAACACATTGATAATTTTTTAATAGATATTGAATTTACATAATTGCAAGCATATAACTGTAAATCTTTGATAGGAGACAAGGAAGTACAACTTTATAAAGCAATTCTAGTAGTAACGAACTAAAAAATACGGAAACATTTTCCCGAAATATTGTAATATTAAACAAAATTACATCCACCCATATGATAGTGATAAATTACTATGCAATAAATGCAATAATGTTTATTATTATATATTATAGAATTTGGTTATATAACTAAATTTATTTATCATAATTTAATTTATATATGTATTAAATTTATTTATGTAATTACAAACTGTTTAATTATTACTCTATATACAGTGTTACTAAATAAATACTTTATTAAAATTAAAATATAAAATTAATTATAATTAAACTATACTATAAAATAAAATAAAATAAAATTATTTACTATTTAAATATACAATTATAATTAAATTAAATTATTTACCTAATTCATCATTTGTAATATGTAAAGCTTCTAATAAATTTAAATATAAAGTAATTATTAAATTTTCATTTATTTTATTAATTTAAAATTATTACAATAATTACCAATACTCTGACTAATACAATCTGAATATTTAATTTCAAGATCTAAAACTTTATTTAACTTTTCAGTAAAATTAAGTAAACAGCTTGTATGATATACTTGTATCTGAGCTTCTTCAATAATATTATCATTATTAATATTATTTTGCTTTAGATTTGATATTTTATCTGCTTTATAAAACAATATAATATTATCTAAAAAATTTTTATTCAAATTTTTAGTTTGAATATTATTACACCAATTTATAATAATATTCTTAATTTCTAAGGCATTTGGTCTTTTTAATGGATTAATATTCCAACATTTTTTCATTAAATCTATATAACATTGTGGAGTATCTTTAATAATTTCAGGATGTTTGCCTTTACAAATATTTAAAGCTAATTGAAAATCATAAGTTTCATTATAAAATGGAAAAACTCCAGATATAAATTCCCATAATATCATAGAAAAACTGTCTATATCACTAGCTAAACTATATGGTTGGCTTTTTAAAACTTCAGATGCTACAAACACTAATCAAAATCATTTCATTTGGCACTAATACCATTTGGTTAATATTCAGCCGATTCGGTCATATGATTTGGTAAAATTCGGCTTAATTTACAAAAATCAATAATCATTTGTTACACTACACATATTTCGGCATTAAGACA